TTAAGGATCACAGAATTTATGAAAATGTTAGTTATTTTTGACAGTATAACCTCATTTGCTCTGTTTCCATTTTCTGTTTGAATTATCTTTCAGAATGTAATCAAATCAGCTGACTTAACTTCTTGATCTTACTCTGAATGCACTTACCTCAAAATGGGTTTATAAACATTTCCAGGAAATGTTTAACGATTGTAAAAATCCCTTTTACCCTAGGAAAAAGATAGCTTTTACCCTAGAAAAAAATTCTGTTTATTCTAATCAGTCATAAAGGCCAAGTGAACACCTACAAAGAGAAAATTTAGGGTTTACATTGTAAGATTAATATGGAGACCTGTTAATAGTGTCATAAGGCTGAAGTAATTGAAATATAGTAGTATTGGCATATAGGAGAGTCTGTGTTTTCTTCCATTTTGTCAGCACAGGATTTTCTGTGGCCTCTCTTTTTGTAATGACAACCCAGAAGTTGTTGCAGATGACTAAGATGTTTTTCCATCTGACTTCTCCTGCCAGTTGGCACAAGTATAAACATCTGGACAAACACAAAAAGATTCTGTGGGCGCTTCTTGCTGGGACTTCCACTGACTTCACTGGAAGCTGCAGGCTAGAGACAGATCTGATGAAAAGGCAACATGACCCATTAGAGAGTTTTATTTAGTACACAAGCACGTAGACACAGCACAGGTCTCTGAGAGATAGGTCAGAACATTAGAGGAACCAGCAGGGTTAACATTGCTGGTAGATGATCATGGAGGTTCATTGTTTACCCCAGTGCTGGCTGGCAGTACTCTGCACCGTAGAACAATGCTGTGATTTTCCAGCAAGTTAGAGTTTTCTTGTGAACTAAGGTGATCAAGTGCCATCTCTGATGTCAGTGTGAATTAGATGCAGATATATGGGCTGTAGACTCCATCGGAAATCCCGATCTGAATGCTTTTTAGTGGAAGCAGCAAGTTCAGAAGGGGCAGGAGAGGGAGCTTAGGCAAAAGCATTCTCCATCATCACTCCCTGACCCCTTTCTTGTCTCTTGGTGTCCACGCAGCACTGCCATTCTGCTGTACCTGAGCCGCAAGTACAACACTCCCGACCACTGGTACCCCTCGGACATCCAGAAACGGGCCCGGGTGGATGAATACCTCTCGTGGCACCACGCCAACATCCGGGCCAATGCTCCTAAGACCATGTGGATCAAGGTAAGGGGACTGAATATTAAAGCGTGAGCAGGGTGATGTTTTCCTGCCAGGATACTGAGCATCTGAACACCCCGAATTTGGAGAGTGTTTGTCATGCTGGAACAACAAGGCTAGGCAGTTCCTAGCTGAGAGGAGCTGTCAGAGAGGGAGCTCTTCCTGATTGCTCAGGATCTGGCAAAAGCAGCTTTGGCCATTTTGATTTTTTCCTTAGTAGGTCTGGTACAGAAGGTCTCAAAGCCAAACAGACTTCCATTCCCTGGATTTGTGAACGCGTGTGTAACAGATGGGATGTTGCCTCCAAGGGCCTCCCTCTGACTGCACAGATGTGCAGAGTGTGCACGTAGGCAGGAGTTTTGCTGCTTTTGTGAGCATGCGTTTTGTGGCTGGAAGCAGAAAAGCTTGCATTCTTCATACAGCAAGTCCCAGCAGCACGGCAGGGTGGAAATCCAGAAGGAGCCTTCTGCTTCCAGCACGCTTAGGGACTTCTCTGAAATGGTCTCAGGAATAGACAGAAGAGAGACAGACAGAGAACGGCAGAATTTCTTTATTCAGTGTGGTCAGATCAATTTACATTTAGGCAAAATTAACGAAAATGCAGAAAATCATTTGGTGGCAGATGATTTTGCTGGACACCTATTTCCAGCCAACTCACCAGACATTTAATGCAGCTGTCCTTGGAGAGACCTGGCTGCAAATATAGCCCTGCAAGTACAGCTGTGGTATGGAATTTCAGATCAAATCAGGGTTGCCAGTAAATAGGTAATAACTTAACTCTTCCTGTGTAAAGTTTGCCCTTGTTTGTGTCTAACAAAGCATATCAGGACTCCTTTAGCTTTTTGATTTATTGGCATTTGAATTTTTGGCTGGAGAGCACAGAGAAGCAATTCAAATATGTGTCACATTCACACAAGAAGCAGTTTCTTCCAGTCTCTGGAAGCTTTTTTTGCAGTGCTCCAAGGGAAAGAAATCCAGCTAATTGCTGGTGATGGTTAGGTAACCCAGATACAGAAAAGGTCCTCAGAATGATTGAAAATAGGGAAATTTTTAAAGCCACCATGTAACAGAAGGCATATTGGCTAGACATGGGAGAAGATAGTCTGCCTTGAGATACAGAACAGGAAGAAGGTGCTGTTTCAAGAGATTGTACCCAGAGATTCTATCATGCACAATTGGAACCACTTAGGAAGAGAACTGGCCATGAATTTTCTTATGAAATAGATTCCACATGTATTTGGCAAAAATCCTGGCTTGGATTAAGCAATCCCAACTTGAATTGTTGACTATACTAGCAGTAAGTAGAAACTCAGTCCACTCCCACTGATCAAAATTTGTATCTTTCATTTTGTTTCTCTAAATAAACTCTATTTCTTTAACTGTGGAAAGTGGAGGCAGCAGAGTTGTGAAACATTGTGGGCTCTGATGGTGTGTACACCTCTATGAATGGTGAAAAATCTGAAAAGTCTCACAGAATGGCAACTACACCCTGTGCCAGCAAGTCTATGGAGACAAAGACTGCACTTGTACAGATTGCTCTGGACAAATTTCTAGTGGTTTAAAGAATGATGCTTGGGAGGCCACAGAAAGGCTGGTGTAAAAGTGGTACTTACCCACTCCCAGCCTCGCTGGCTGCTCTCAGAGGAAACAATTTTGTGCCTCTACAGTCAGTGTTTATGCATTCCAGTCCCTCCTACATTCCCTGCCACAGCCACCATTTTGTCCTCCTTTCCATCACCCTGCAGGACGGGCAGCTGCCTGCCTGCCTGCCTCCAGCACCCTGTTACACAACAGGGTGGGCAGCAGTGTGACTGGTGGGCAGGCAGCTTGCTGACCTGTCTTGGCAGGCTGTTGAAATGGAGGATGTAGCAAGGGTGACTAGGGCAGAGACTTCTCTTCCATAGAACTGTTGCATGTTTTTCTTTTGTAACCCACCAGGGTGGAGTAGGAGGGCACAACTGCCAGGCACAAAATGAGATGAATCCTTGCTTTTGTTCTGCACATTGCTGCCTGTTAGCTGGAGGTTACTGTGATGGGACATCAGCTGCTTAGCATTGCTTGTGTGTTCCCTGGCCATGAGCTGCTTGGAACTGCAGCCATCCAGAAAGCCCAAGCATCTTTCCCTCCTGTGGCTTTGCTGCAGGATCACTGACAATCAGGAGTAGTTCATGGAGTGTAACTTAAATTGCCACCAGATCCATGAGAAGATGGCCGAGAGTACTATAAAGTCCCTTCTCTCCTCAGGTGCTGATTCCCCTCTTCACAGGGCAGCCACTGCCCTCTGAGAAGCTCCAGGAGGTTATGGAGGGACTGTCCACATCCCTGAAGCAATTTGAGGAGAGGTTTCTGCAGGACAAGGCTTTTATCATTGGGAGTGAGATCTCTCTGGCAGATCTTGTGGCCATTGTGGAACTGATGCAAGTGAGTGCTGGAGTGTGGTAAGGAAGTCTCAGCACGAGGGAAGACAGATGCTGCTGGGCAGGGAGGGGTGCAGCATGTGGTAACACTTCACTAGAAAGAGGAGTGAGGGCATATCTCAACAGAACTGTCCTAAGACAATGAGGAGAATATGGGAGTGGGTTCAGAAAACCAGTCTTGGAAAAAAAAAATGCTGGCTGCAACAGATCTCTTTTGTTTCTCTTCTCTAACAATATTTCTTCTCCTTCATCCTTTATGATGACCTGCACAATATAATTTATATTGCCTCCAGAGAAGGGGGTGATATATAAAAGTGAGAAGCAATAGCAGACTGTTCTGATGAAATAAGATGATATAGGAATATTTTTAGCACACAAGAATAATCTTCAGGTGGTACTTAGCCATGCCATGTCTGAAAGATGCAAGACTGAATCTCAGACAGAGGCAATTAAATTAAGTCTGTTACAAACTGCTTGTTCTCTGCCAGGCCATCAGGGCCTGGATCCTGCAGCCCAGAAGTGTTTCTTTCTCCCAGTTCTGTATCCCAGAGGCTGAAAAATAGCAATTCTGCTTCTCTACAGCATTGTGTTCCAGAGAGTGGCACAGTTACAAAGCAGAAGGGGGTTAGATGATGTCAGCTAAGACATCAGCTCAGTTAAAGGTGTAGTGTCTTGTGCTGTGGGTTTGTTACCTAATCTAGCACTCCGTATCTGCAGTGCAGACTGTGCAGGTGTGCCTGGAACTGTCAGCCCACCACATCTTCAGTGCTGGAGCTGAAAGTCTCTCACAGTAAGTGGCAGACATCTCTGCTGCTTGTAACAGCTGCTATTGCATTCAGGAATTGGTCTTTAAAATACAGACTAGCCTCTGTGTCCCCCAGATAGATACACCCGATGGGAGATTGCCCTCCTTCCTACTGCTCCTCTATGAGCTATTTGGGTTTTTTTCTCACCTGTACCTGCAGGTACACTTTTGGTGCCTGTTCTCTTGGTGAAGTGACTGCCAAGTGCCTCACTGTTGCTCTCTCTCCCTTTCTGCAGCCTGTTGGAGTTGGTTGTGACATCTTTGAGGACAGACCAAGGCTGATGGAATGGCGCAGGCGGGTGGAGGATGCTGTGGGGAAAGAGCTTTTCTTCCAAGCCCATGAGATGATCCTCAACATCAAAGAACTGAGCAACATTCAAATTGATCCACAGCTGAAAGAGCATCTGGCACCTGTGTTGATGAAGATGTTGAAATGAATTAAGCTATATTACTATTTTTGCTGCCTTCTTTTTCTTTTTTTAACTTCTCTGACCTCCAGATCAACATGTAACTGGAAAGAGCACTGTAATTCTAACACAGAAATTGCAGAGTGATTCCTCCCCCACCAGGCCTTTCCTGTATCTTTGGGGGTGGAAGCAGGGGAAGGTTTAAGATCTAAACCATTAAATTTACACAAATGGCTGAGGCCCTACAGGTTGCTTTACATGTGCATTTGGGTTTTATTTCAGTGTCAGTCTTCTCAGAGATGGTAGAGACATGAATGGTAGTTCCTGACAAAATCTGAGCCAGCCTGCAAACTGGGAATATTAGGGAACTGTGTAAGATGAGCGTTGTTTTCATGTGTTTTTATTAATATTTGTGGCTCCTTCTCAAGTGACAAGCACTGCAAAGTGTGCCTGATCCTCACCTTCACAGACAAATCCAGCACAAAGCTACAGGCAGTCACAAAAGTGGAAAAAATACATTAATTTTTGGTGGTTTATTTTAAAGTTTTTTACTGCTGAGGTATTTTCCTTGGCTGCCCATGTACATTCCATACTTATTCTATTTATCTTTAGGTTACTGTGAGAAGTTTCTTCATATTCATCTACAACTGTGAATCTTTATAATTCTTCAGGTTAATCGCTGCTTTTGATTTCTGAAACCTGGATTTCTTTGGTGCTCGGTCTGCCAGTACACTTGTGGCATGGACTGTTCTTGGAGATTCATGCAGTCAAGACTAAGCTGTTTCAAAAACCTGAGGGTGGCCAAAGTCTTCAAATAACTACCTACATAAAATACTCTGTTGATATTCTATAGGGAATACACTGAATGAATGCATTCACAGTGATTTCTTGAAATACTACAGCAATCAATTTTTTTTTTTTTTTTTTTTCCTGCAGTAATACAGTAATAGCAATCCACACTTCTCCTAAAAAATTAGATGGGGAATACATCTAGATGTGCTCTTCTGAGACTGTTTTGAATGGAAGTTCACCAAGTAAGTCACCCTGTGCAGTTGAAGCAATAAGATTTTGTGGCATTGAGCAACGTACACATCACAATAAAAGGGCAGAGAGCTGTTTTGGAGCTTTTGGGCTTTTTTCTTGGCTGTGTTTATTTCTGTTTAGATGTAGCTCAAATTCAAAACCCTTTGGTACTGCAGCACAATTTATGAGGTAAAACTGAGAGATTCCAACCATTTCTAGTTTCTTCAGTTGAAGACAGCAAATTGGAAAGGATGCAGAAACTGGTGGAATATATATCTGCATATTTCTGTTCCTAATTAGTTGTTGCCCTTGAACCTTATACTGAAATTCTTGCCCAAGAACACTTCCTGTAAGGAGTAGGAGAAATGAGTAAATAATTCAGGAATGGCTTATCTCACTATCAGACTGCTCTTTTTCTTTCCAGTAGTGCCATGTCTTGGGTAGTGATATTTCTGCTGGCACGCTTTATAAAACTTGATGTGTTCTGGTGATTTTTTTTTTCAGTAAGGTTTCAGTTCTAGATACTACTGATTCAGTCCAGAGCCTCGGGACATCTTCAAATTCCCTGTCTGGAAAGACATTTCCACTGTGTTATTTTCATGTGCATTAGCAGGAGACGAGCCTGACTGAAGGTTCTCTCTTTGTGAAACAGAAATACTAGATACAGGCACACATTCCCACCCTTTCTTTCTTTTCTTCCCAAACTAGCTGAATAATATGTTTTTATTGATGTGTTATTAACACAACATTGTCTACAACCGAGTTAAATTTTAAATGGGAAGTGGTTGGGTGTTTTTGATAATTTTGAGAGTGGAATTGCTAAGTGGATAATGACACATCTGCAAATGTGTGAAGAAATGAGGAAAAAAACCTACTAAGATTTTCCGAAGGCTGAGGATGTTTTAGAGTACTTGCTGCTGTGCTGTCCTCTTTTGGTTGGTTGTTCATCTCCCTACAAGCATTTTAATCACTCGCTCAAAGACAAACAGTAAAAAAATGTCTTTGTTCACAGCCTCACAGAGTTTTTAAACTAATCTGCCATTCAGGTGGTAAACCACCAAGAGCAAAGGACAATGTGTATCATTAAAGATGTCTGTGACAGCCCCACATCCTGCTATAATTGCTGACATCTGATACTTCAATCTTCTCTTCCCTTTGGGGACCTGATGTGCTGCCTTCTTGCCATGTGAGTTTGTTTGTTTTTTTTTTTTTCCCTTTGGAATTGGAATTCTTTTAGTATTTTAAGGAATGAGAGAAATAAAAAAATGGGTCCTAAGTGGCGTCTTACCCATAGGCAACAACTCCAGCACTCAGACAGTGGTGTGCCTACAGCCAGGGTTTGCACGGTGGCAGGATACCGCTGCTGCCTTCTTTTTGGTCACAAACTTGAGACCATCTCTTCTATTTACAAGAACATATCTTTCTGTACATTTACCCTGGGATCTAACAGTTTTCCTGGGTTTGAAAGGAGCATCTCTATTATCAGTTACCACTGTAAGCAGCCCCCCTTACCAGCCTGCTGTGCCATGCCCCCTCCCCTCTCTAGCTGGGTCTCTCTCTTCATAATCTCTCTCTCAGCTTTACTGCTGGCTCGTTTATACACCCTGCTCCTTGTGCCAGTATTGTCTTCACAAGCAGCAGGGAAGGCCAAGCAGTTTCCCCAGAAACGAAAACAAAAGCAATTCCATCAGTTTTCATTAAAATTGTCTAGAACTATAGAAAGCCAGAAAGTCACATTTACAGGGCCAATTTTCACAACAGTGCTGTGCTTTAAACAAGAAGACCTTTTAATCTAGCTGGTTCATATCGTTTTGCTGTAAATGAGCACATGTAACCCTCACTGGACAGTAGCTGAGCTTCTGAGAAACCTCTGATCTCTAGATTAGACTGTCCCTGTGAGCAGGATCCCTCCTATCAACTTTGGAGGTCAAAGTCCTGGTTGCAGAAGCTAGTTGGGTAGTTACACATGTTGGATAAAACAATAAACCTCTCTGCTTGCCTTTTAGTTTCTTGTAGCACTGTTTGTTCTGAGCAATCCCTGCTCTTCCATTCTTAACCCTCCCTGCATAGGCAGGTACGGAGTGTCCACTGTGGTGAGCAGAAGCATCTCACCGGCCGTAAGGACCATCACAACACTCACTACCCTTTAGTGGGTCAGATGGGATTGTTTGGTCTCTAATACATCCACTCGAGGCGCCAAAGGCCGAGAGGCGGCTGGGTAAGCCAGAAATGCCGAAGCGCTGCCTGGGGCAGGTGCGAGGCAGCCG